GAATTTCATATTTTTTCCCACATCAAATAGCCACAAAGTAAGTGAACCAACCTTTTAATTGTACAGAGGGGGAAAGAAGAATTATCTCATAGGACAGAAAAAGAAAGTTCTTGGTCTGTCTTTTGCGTTCAGAGATAGTTCTTCTAGCACAATCTACTGTCTGCAGAGGATTGAGAATGTAGAATTAGAAACAAGTGTCTTTATACATTTTATACAGAAAAAAAAAACAACCACCAAGGCTAAGGATGATTTGGGATCTTTTGCACCCATCCCTAATTTAGTGGTTCTGGTTTATCTTGTCCTGGTTGCAGAGAGACATAAATGCATTTGATTTCTTCCACTTTTGGCTCTGATTTTCAGAATATATAAAGGCCCCTGATCATGTGCAGTTGGCCTTTCTTTCAGTTAGTGTGACTCTCCTCCCCTTTAACTAAACGATGTGGCCAAGCAGAAGCAACAGGTGCACTGACATACCAGGCAATTTTTTCATTTTGTTTTCTTGGCATGCAAGGATGTCTGATCATATCAACATTCTTCACACCTAATAAGACAGTCCTGATTTATTCGCTTTCATGTTAGTAAATCTACATACTCTCTAAGTATATAAAATAGCTTCAATTCTGCCTCCATGCTGGGAATTAAGTATAGCTCTGGTAGTCCAAAAATGTGCTTTTGGATCTTTGTGCTTGCAAAATCTATTTTTAAACAAATCAAGGGGGGAAACCTATACACCATAATCTGTATTCCTACATGGAATATTGATGCAATTCTGTATGTCATGACATGCTCCCATATAGTGATCCTACAGGGAAAACATTGGACTATATACTCTGTTAGACTGTTGGTCTATCAAGCTGAATACTGTATTTGCGAAGGCTTTCACGGCCGGGATCTAATGGTTGTTGTGGGTTTTTCGGGCTCTTTGGCTGTGTTCTGAAGGTTGTTCTTCCTGACGTTTTGCCAGTCTCTGTGGCCAGCATCTTCAGAGGACTGGAGTAGGAACTCTGTCCATCTCCTACTCCAGTCCTCTGAAGATGCCGACCACAGATACTGGTGAAACGTCAGGAAGAACAACCCTCAGAAAACGGCCAAAGCTGAATACTGTCTACACAAGCTTTCTCCAACTTGGTGTCCTCTAAATGTTTTGGACTACAATTCCCATTATCCTCAACAAACAAGACAAATGTCTGCACCGATTAGAAACAGCTACACAAAGTTTTGGAAGTAACTGTTCTAGCCCTACCTGGACCATCTAAGGCTTCAACCTGTTGTATACATTCTACCTCTAAGCCTTTTTTTTTTCCTTTAAAATAAATAAATAAATCCAAGTCTGTTGTTTGATACACATGGCTTATTTAAATACAATTCACAAAGTGCAAGGGGGAAAAAAAGCTGAAGTAAGGCTTTTCTGAAATTAGCAATAGAAATTCTCCATGTAAATTTGGAAGACAGGCACTCCCAAAGGCAGGGCAGAGCCAACCCTATCAAAAAAGCAAGAGGTGAGGACCAGCAAACTTAATTATTATTTTATAAGAGAAAAGAAAAATCAGCATTTTTTAAATTAGCAGATTAAAAGATGTAAACATTATATCTATATTTGTCATCTATATATAAATAAGAAAAGATACATGGTCCCATTTGATTCCTGTTTTATAACTTTTGAGAAGTAGGGTTCCCTCCCCCCTTCAATTTAAATAATGCAAATTTTCATTTTGGCATTAAAAGACAGGAACAAATAGGAGGGATGTTAAATTAATAGTGGGCTGATTTGTTGGAGCAGAAACACAGAGAAAAAAATATATGCCTGCCAATAAATAAGAAACCAGTGAGTGTTGTTAGGATTTGGTCCTGATGAAACATACAAGCAGCATTGGCTCAATTAAATGAAAATGCTCTGTAGGGGGAACTACTGATACCACCATGATAGCCATATGTAGTTCTGTTACATCACAAGTGCATTGGAGACTTGATGAGCACAATCCCTTAAAGAGTGTGGCCAGGCCTCTCTGTTTAAATCACCACGGCTAGGGCAAAATATCTTGAGGTGAACAGAGGTCACAAAGCAGTAGTGTTTGTTGGAGAGCATTCAAAATGGAAAGAAGCAGTCAAGTATAACAATCACATCTGAAGGAATGGAAAGCAAGTATTTAGGAAAAGAGATCAAGAATTAACATTACAAGACAAAGAGATTTTCCTTTTGAGTATAATTGATAGATCTTCTCCAAAATATAACAGGTTCATGAGTAATGAGTGCTTGCAGGATTGCACTTTAAAGCATCTGGGCAAATGTTTGTTAGATCAGAGATATACCCATTTCAGATTTTACATGAGCTTTGGTCTTGCTTCACTGACAAAGCCTTTGTTATTCATCTCCACGTCATGTTAGTAAATCTAACAAGCATATAGCTTGCTATTTGATTCACTTTGGGTGTGGATTGGATTCCCCTATTTTCTGGTGACCAAATGTGTTTTAAATAAGAGCAATTCATCCTACCCTTTTTGAGAGCTGTTCCATTCCTGTCTGGTTTAGCATTAGGGCTGCAGTTTATTTGGTATGATTGGGAGTGTTCCTGATTATCCTGTTCTGCAGACTGCACAGTTGCTTAATTTGCTCCCAAGCAGAGCTGCAGCTGGTGTTCTCTTCTGTGACAGCTCTGTGATGTATGCAGTGGGTTGTGGCAATATAAAGAATGAGTTCCTTACTGCTTTCTCTCCTCTATTTTCCTCTTTTCACAATTTTAAAAACACATTATCCTAAGTGATGCAGCACTATTTCAGATATAAGAGAGTGTCCATGCTAGGTTGATGTATTGCTGTAGCACTATGCCACTTCCTAAGTTAATTTTTTTAAAAGGAGGGGGGAGTTGCACTACCAATGGAATGGCAGCCATACCAAAAGGCAGGGAAAGGAACGGGCTGTAGCACTATGCCACTTCCTAAATTAATTTTTTTAAAAAGGAAGGGGGAGTTGCACTACCAATGGAATGACAGCCATACCAAAAGGCAGGGAAAGGAATGCGGAGGAGGCATCAATAATTGAAAGGGGAGAAAATGAAGCTATCTGAAGTGCTGTCTGGATCCTTTTTCAAGAGAAGAAATATGTCCCATGTGAATGGGAGGATCACTGAAGAGCAAGGTAAAATAGATCACACTGAAAATGAGAGCCTTTTAAACGTGGCCTGGAACACTCCAAATTCTCCTGTCTAGTTGTCCCCTAAGGTTGTTATAGGAACAAAGGAAACTGCCTCATGCAGAGAGGCATTGTTGGTGCAGACAGCCTATTATTGTCAACTCTGATTGGCAGCTGCTATTCCAAGTCTGAAGTGGATTCTTTCCTGAACCTACATGAAGATCCCTGATGTTCTTTTCATGGTCTTCTGTCCAACTACTCATCCTGCTTAGCCTCCAAAATCAGATGAGAACAGTTGTAGCAACTAGATAGTGGTACAGCAGTCATTGGAACATGGGATTCCATAATGTCTTGCCAAGGAGAATGACAGCAGAAGTAGCACTCATTACTTTAAGCCAAAGCTAAGATATGACCCTTTTAAGTGGACTTCTAAAGAGCTCCTGGTTTAACGGTCAAAATGAGCCCTTCCAGGATATCATTTCCAGGCCAATGGGTTAACACTAAACTATAAGAAGTGTCCAGAAGGCAAAACCAGAGATCTGCTTGGTTCCCATCCATTCAGCACAAGAAAAGAGGCACAGGATGACCTAACAGACATACAGACTTACATATCAAGGAAAGAAGTCTGGAAGAAAGGCAGAATCTAGAGTTGAAGGTCGAGTCACATTGTTGAGCAATCTATTGCTCAGAATCTGAACACGTCAAACCAGTTGCAACACTTGAATAAAAGAATTTCCACCACTAAGGCACTCCAGGAAGTTACCCTATGGAGGAGAGAGGTGGCTTGACCGACTTAAATCCACCCAAAACAGTAAGGAAAGTAGTCACTTTTCTAGCTAAGAACAGCAAAAGCAAGCCTGTCTGCTAAGCACTGGGAAATTTCATTCACATGAAACAGATGAACCCATTGGTATAAAACTAGAAATGCTTCTGCTAAAATCATCAAGGCGTTACCTGAAGTTACATCCAGAAGTCATTTCAAAAGTTTAGAAGTGCATAAATAATCTTTTGTTAACCAGTTCTGGTTGCAAATTCTGGTTCCCCCCCAATGAACTCTTCCACAGACTTGACCAATTATCCATCTTGCCTGCCTAGTGTGGCCAAGTTTTAAATCCTCACCATTTCTACCATCTGCTATAACCTAGTAAGTTAGTTGGAGGAAAAGAGTCGCCACTTCTGTGCGTTTTCTCCAATTCTCTCTTCTGAAGGTTCCTTCAACAGGCCTGCTGCTGGCTTACACCCTGAGTGATCTCTAGAAATGGCAGCATCATGGCAGGCAGGCAGCAGTGACCCAACAGGCACACATAATACTGCCATGGAAATACATTTGCCATGAATGCAACTTGGGCATTTGAGAGAACTAGTTTCTCTTCTGCCAATAGCTCTTTATGTATAAAAAAGCACAAGTCTACCAGAACGTGTGACTCAGTTACATACAACCTTTCATTCTGTCTAGGACAATATGCAGCCTGGGTCAGGATGACACAATGTACAGTTAGTAACATGGGCTAAGAAAACAACAAAAAATTAAAATTTTGTTTTTGGCCCACTGAGATGGAGAGGTTTTTCACAAAGCACATCAGGAGACTTTGGTCAAAGGCATCCTGTGATAGTCTTTCATATCCTTGTATTGAAAAGATACAGGTTCCCTGGCTACCCACTATGAACAGAATCTTCCCTGAGAAACTAAATAAAAAAATACTTAGAACTAAATACACAATCTAAAATTTAAAAATGTGGAAAGAGAGGGCCCAAAGCTGAGTATATTGAACTAGGATAAGTGGAAATGTTTTGCATTTGAAAATAAACACATACCTATACCTCCTTCCCACCAACTCCCCAAAAAGCAGGAAAAGAAGAAAATCAAGAGTTACAGGCAGAACTCTCTCTGTTTATTCCAGGTGTAAGTATTGCATTATTGAAGTGCAGAGTTTGGTATCAGAGGCAAGATCTAACAAAACTTCAGTTGGTGACCTTTCTCAATTTTACAGTAAATTTTACACAGTAAATTTCTGGCTTTTATTATCAAGACAAAAAGCTTGAAAAACATGTAGGCAATGCCTGCTGTACTTGTAGAGGCCCAGAAGTGCAGTAGGCACAACTGCCAGTGACCAGAGATAGGGTTTCATCATCTCCACAGCTGCTTCTTTCTCCCTATGGCCAGCATAGGCAAAAATAAATAATGCAAATTTAGCAACCAGAGTCAACATTTGGACAAGTTATTCAGGTCATGCTCTTTGGCTTTTCTTGTTGCAATATATAATATTGGGTTTACAGATTTGTTTGTTTTAAGTGGCCAGAAGACTGGATCACACAGACCACGTAGAATTATACCCATTTGCACATGGAAGCCGCTGACCTGAAAAACCATGGCTATAACCCAGATGCATTTTAAAAGTCAATGGAAGTTTGGTCACTGACTTCACTGGAAAAACACTTCAGAAAAACTCAAGATTGAGTTCCCCAGCTACTAAGGCAACGCTTCCAGGGAAATAGCAGTGCTCACCCAACAGAGCTAACATGGCTTGAAGACGCTCCCCCAGCTCATAAAGCCGGTCCCCGAAGAACACGGCCCAGTGAGCTCATTAATTCCTTCAGCCATCTGGTCTAATGTACCCAAAGGTTAAATGGGGAGGGGGATGACAGTGGAAACTTGCTAATAGAAAATGATGAATCGGAGCTGGCCTGGGATAAGTGAGATGTTCTGCACAGATCAGTTTTAAAACAGAGCCTACCCTGTACCAGCTGAGGACCCAGAAACCATTCTCCCAATTTATTTATATGCCGCTCTGCATAACCAGACAGCTGCATGTTGCTTTAAGAGCAACTGTCCTCACCAGGATTTTGCCCCAGAATCATGGAGATATATTGAGTGAAGTGCATTGCCTGCTTCAGTAGTGAGCACAGGGTCTCCACACACACCCACAACTGCCATACTGAGCTGGATGCATAGGGACCCAATGCAAATGAAGACCCAAGACCAGGTGTAGAAACCATTTTCCTTTTGCTGTCTCTAAGACCACCACAGTTCTAGAGGAAAAGGAATAACAAGGCCCAAAGCCATCAAACACACACACACGCATGTACAGGCACATCACACACACAACTTTGGCTGAGGACTGATGAATGAAATACAGTCAACATGTCCCGGGGGACAGGGGGTAGGCATTCTCTTAAAAGAGCTCCCAGCCAACTTCCTGCACTTTTACCCTCAGTGAATCCCTTTCCCGGATTAGTCACAAGAAAAGAACAGCAGTGCTGCTACAGTGCTAGGGTCCGCAGATCTGGGAACCAGTGGCTTTGTTCAAGAAATGGCACCGTTCTCTGAGTCAGGCGTATGTCAGAGTGGGATGTATCACATCCAAGGTGGCTGGCAGCCAAAGGGAAAGGAAGTGTAGGGTCCAGCAACAGATTTGAGAAACACTAATTACAGAAGAAGCCCGTGCCAGGGACAAAGGCTTAGTGGAAACTCACTCTGGCATTTCCCCAGCAATTTTGCCACTACTCTTGGCCTGCTATCAGAGGCCTTTGCAGCCCACGGATAAACAATGTACACATCTCCACACTCCCATCTCCTTCAAGGAGACTATTTTTCCATTTGCTAACAGAATATAAAAAGCACTTTTAGCTCACTTGCTTCCCTACCACCACCTTCCTATGAAGGTGCTGGGATTACCACTTTAAAAGGACCATTTGGAGCTATCGTTTCTTCCTCTCACTTTTTGCGAAAGCATACCAAAAACCACTCAACAAAAGCAAGAATTCCCCATAGGAAGATCCCAATAACAGCAGCGGTTTCATTACGATTGCCACAAGCTTTTAGAGTTTTCGAAATGTCATGGTATCCAACAGAAATCAAAAAGTTAAGGCCCAAATGAGATCAACCCATTGGAATGTACTACTTAGCAGAGAAGGAAACCTGGTCAGACCAGTCCACTCAGCAACATGACAGGAGAATGGCTAGTGATATATTGAAGCTCACATCTGTTTGCACTGAACTGTAAATGGGGGCAGGATTTCCCCACCACCATGTAGTCTAAGTAGTTGGGTCCCACTAATGCAACTTCTGCTCCCCACCCACTTCTATATGGCTTGCATTTGTTCTGGCCCTTCCTGCGACAGGAAGTACCTGGAGCTACATCATTCTTTCTTCTTCCTCCTCTTGCTGCCCTTGTGCTTGAATGCCATTGTGCTGGCTCTTTGATCTACAAAGCAGGGGGTTTCCCCCTTAAGAGTAACTGGGTGGGGCAGCAGCAAGAAGGGGTTACAGCGCCAGCAGAGTTGGAGAGTTTAAGGAATCCGAGGACTGGTCGCCACTGCTGCTGCTCCTCCGATGGGCTTTTGAACAGGACTCTGAAGGAGAGAGCGGCGACTCCTGGTCCATCACGCTAGGATAGGTGAAGACCAAGTTGGATGCTCCAGGAGTGATGGCAGGTGTCGAGGTCACCACAATGGGAGTGTTGAGTGGCTCTTCCCCATAAAACCCCCCTACAATGCTGATAGGTTTGATGACAGATCTCTGCTCTTTTTCAAGATCGGAAGAGGAAGGTATCTTTTCCTCCACCGGCTCCTGTTTCACTACAATGGCACCACTCATTCCAGTCCGGATGGTCTGGAGGCTGTGTGTTGGTGGGGTTCGACGCTCCTCAGGGCTGATCTTGCACATGGGGCTGTGAGCCATCAGCATGAACTTCAGTTTCTCCTTCTCTTTCTCCAGCTCAGCAATCTCCTTCTGCAACACTGACTTCTCTTCCTCCAACTCTTCAGTTTCCTGCAGATCCAAGAGAAATAGGTCATAATCAGCAGAAACCTGCACTGAATTAGAGAATAGATCTAATAGATAAACAGGCCACCTTTAGACCTTGTAGGGCACAATATTATCTCCTGGTGATACAGCAATGTGTTCCCTGCCTCAACTCATGACTAGATGATATTTGAGCTCCTTTCCAACTCACTGGGCTGAATCCAGATTTAAAGTAGAATCAGGCATACACCCATTAATTCTGATCAGTGCACTTTGAGCTTGACCAGATCATACTCAGTGACCATAGATTAGCTGCCCTTGATACAGTGTCTAGCTGCTGAAAGGCAGAACCTACATTCTGGAGCAAACAGGAGGCATATAGCTCTTGAAAGTCTTCCACACTCACACACTCACTGCTCCAACAAACATCATATCACCAAGAAGTTAGAGCAACTGAGAAGTTAACCATCTTTCCTCATAGTAAGGGTACATAAGATGGCTGACATTTTAAGACAGATCCCCTACTTCAGCTATTCTGATCCCACCAGTATATACACAAAGAGTATTCTGGTCTTTTGACCATCCAATGGGGCAGAAAGAGAGGGGAAATAGTGCTTAAGTGGTTGGTGCACAACAACAGCAGTGCCAGCCTGTGTAAATAGGAGTGGTAGAAAGCTAAGCAGACATCTACTGTGCTACCCTTGGTTAATTTGTATCTTGCTGCTCCCAAACCCACAATGCCATGGAAACAGAGACTCTCTCCAACATAATATAATATACAAAAAAGGTCAATCCCAGATGACCCAAAGTGAGAATGACTGGAGTTAAGGCAGCTTTTGAGTGGAATACGTACCGCCTGGAGTTTCTCTGTCAATTCTCGGCGTCTGTTACGACATTTAGCGGCTGCCAGCTTGTTCCTCTCTCTCCTAATTCTTCGTTTCTCCTCTTCCTCAGGTGATAGCTGTGTCCAGACAAATGAACAATACTGTAAGTTTGGGCTGACAGGATAGAGAGCACCTTTTCAAACAATCAACAACATTAAAAGATGAGTTATGCCTCATGGATTTCATGGCACCTTTAAGCTCATCAGACAAATTCTTACTGAGAGTATTTCACCCATGATAAAGCAACCCATGACCACAAGTGCCCTGTCTCCAGAGCTTAGTGAAGCCAAGGCTCAGAGAAGGAAAATGTAAGAGTGGTCTTTTAGACCTGATGGGCAGAGTATTAATTAATTAATTAAATAGACGGACGGACGGACGGACAGACAGACAGACAGATAGATAGATAGATAGATAGATAGATAGATAGATAGATAGATAGATAGATAGATAGATAGATAGATAGATAGATAGATAGATAGATAGATAGATAGATAGATAGATAGATAGATAGATAGATAGATAGATAGATAGATAGATAGATAGATAGATAGATAGATAGATAGATAGATAGATAGATAGATAGATAGATAGATAGATAGATAGATAGATAGATAGATAGATAGATAGATAGATAGATAAGCAAGCTTTGTAGCCAATATGCCACATAGATAGATAGATAGATAGATAGATAGATAGATAGATAGATAGATAGATAGATAGCAAGCTTTGTGGCCAATATGCCATTGGCTTTAGAAAATACAAGCAGGTTGCAGATACTGAAGCCGAGGTTGGCAGTCACAAATCTGTTGATCCTGAGCCAGTTATGTTGGAAACAAGCAATGAATAATTTCAAGGGAGCATCATGGCCTCAGTATATTATAACACTACTACTAAAGCCACAGAGAAAGAGAACTACCAAGGTGGTGGGAGAACAAGGAAGTGAAGAAACTAGAGGAAGATTAGGCAAGAAAACACTGAAATCTGCAATCAAGGCCAAAGACATGGTAGAAGCTTGGAGTCGTTTCACAACTTGAGTGGTTTACAAGGAAAAAAACAAAGGAAGGTGTTGCAAGCTTCTCTCTGTCTTAAACAAACCATCTGCCTCTTCCCATATGAAAACACTCATTAACGGAAAAGCCTGGATTCAAGGTTGTTGGGACAATGCAAACAGCCCCTCCAAGTCACAGGGGCTGCGTTGTTTGACATAAATGGTGAGAACTACGTCTCCCGCTCTGATTTTTCACGATAGCACGTTGTACTTCCTGAAACATCAGGCAACCTCACTAAAGAGATGAGTGTCAGAGAGGCTGAACAAGGTATCATTATGCTCACACTGGAGAGAAATCACAGCTCAGAAAGAGGCCAAAGCACTGTGTATTGCAGAGGAAAGGGTGGGAGTTAACATTACCTTGGTCTGGATTTAAACTTTTTCTTAAAGAAAAAAATATGAATCTGAGGCAATTCCATAGGACCACCACTGCCAGCCACATGGGAAGCCAAACCATTACTGTACTAGACATCCACCATAAAAGCATTATTTGTTTACATGCTCCTGTTTTTTTTTGGCAAAAGCAGCTGAACAAAATAGGAGCCAAAGCTGGTATGACTGAGATTATTTCAGTCCTGATGGTGGATTTGGGATATGGACACCTTAGATGTAACAATTACTAGCAGCCATAGCTTTTTATAGAAAAGCCTTAATGAAAGCATTACTGAAATAACTAGTTGTTACTGTTGTTTCTAGACAAGTACCTAACAAACTGGCTGCAACTGGAGAAAGGTCAAGAGGGCATAGAAGAATGTGGAGAAAAAAAAGCTGAGAAAGAAGAATAAGACAGATGACAGAAGAAAATCAGAAAATCTTTTTTTAAAAGAAAGAAATACATGAGTCAACCAACAATCTCATACTGAGCTTCCACTTCGTTATGTAAGTTTAGATATTTTTAATGTGCTTTGAAAAGTTTTTAACTAATTATTTTTAATAGTAATATATGTATAATTGGCTTTTTAATGTCATAATTTATCGTGTTTTTAACTGGCTTTTCTTTCAATAATTTTGTGAGCCATCTTGGGTCCCATAATTGGAAGAAAGATGGAATAGAAATAAAATAAAATAAAAAATTTGAGTTATTCAGACATCCCAGCATCTGAATGGCATATTCTGCTCTGACAAACCTTCTGTATGGATTAGAGCTAGGCCCAACAGCTAAGTCATCAAGTATTTTAGTTGCAGTGCATAACAAAATTGATACTTTTTAATTAATACCTTTGGAATCCACTGATTTTGATAGAACTGCCTCTGGAAAAATCCCCTCTAAGAAATATAAGTTTCAGGAGAAGCATTACATGAACAGTTCCTGTTATAACTTTTAACTCTACAGAGAAGTGTTCAGTGTGTTCCAGACTTGTTACCCAAGATTCATTCATTGAAGATGTTAGGGACTAGAACGAAGTCTGGAATCTCTATGCATACATGCTCTCTTGCTATATATAAGCTGCAGCTCCTTGATATAACTTTTATGAACCCCCTCAGATTAAGGGACCTACACAAGCTAGCACTCTCTTCAAGGAAACCTATGAATCTGAAAAAGAAAGACTCCATCTTCAACAATGGTGTTCTAAGTATGGAGTCATGTCTTGGAAACTGTGCATTTAGTTCCACACTCATTCAGGTAATGTGTTCAATCATTTTGACCATTGTAGTTACCTGCTCATCTCTTCTCCTTCTGCCCACTGTAGTACCAATGGTTTTAATGACACCAGGTCTCTGAAGGGCTGTGTGTCCAGTAATTGAAGACAGATTTGGCAGCGCATGGCTGTAGGGATGTGAGCGCGAGTAGGCACTTGGCATGGAGGTGATCACGGTGGGCTGGACCATCCACTGCAAGTCTTGGCTGGTGGTGATGGCGTTCAAAGTAGGAATGAAAGCGTTGCTCGATCCTGGCATATCTACCCTGAATTTCTAGGAAATGCAAAGAGAAAGAGAATCAGAAAGAAATCAAGAGAACCACCACACCCAGCTAGCGCTAGTAGCTGAAGAACACAGTATATTAAGAGAAGCTGCCTTCTAGCAAGTTACATTTGTTGGATATCTGTAGCCCATTGCCTATTTTTGATGCTTAATGTTTTGAATTGCTGGTGCTAGAGACTGAATCCAGGACTTAAAATGTTTAAAGCAAATTTTTACAAACCCTAACCTTTCTGGTGTATATTCTCACCTGGGTAAACATAACGTGGTGACCTGGGTGATCAGCAGTAAAGCTGACAACCCACTTTCTCCATATGGAGACAAAATGGCTTGAAAATCTTACACTGTATACCATGCATGGGGGATGTGTAGCCTTCAGATGCTGCTGAATGGCAGTTCTCATCATCTTTCATCACTGACTAAGGTGGAAAAGTATTGCTGACCAACAGCACTAGGACAGTCTTATGTTCTCCACTGTTGCTATAGAGACTGTGCCATGGATCTGAGCTTGAAACAACATGGGGGCACCTAATTTTATTCAGTAATCAATATTTATGTACCACCAGGCTGATTCTGACTAGAGATAGGGGTATTCGAATACGAATATCCCCCCACAGGTGCAGATAACGAGGGTCCAGCCAGACCAACCACTCACCTGTCCGTCGCTGTTGTGGGCTTCACAATCCCTTCCTACCACTCCGGAGCTTGTGATGGATTAGCCACTCCTGGCAGAGAGGCTCATCATCCCACCTTCTGCCAGGAGTGGTTAATCCATCACGAGCTCCAGAGTGATAGGAAGGGATTGCTGAGCCTGTGGCAGCACCAGACATCTGCACCTGTGGGGGATATTTGTATTCATATGCAAATTAATTGAATTTGTATGCAAATACGAATCCCCCCCCCATCTCTAATTCTGACTCACTGCAACTCTCCCAGGGTATTCTAGGTACTCAGAACTGATCTAATAGTCCCCTTCTTATGGTAAAAGAATTCTGAGCTCAGTAATTAAGGGGATGGCTAAGTCTCTCACTGTCTTTAGCTGCCCTGGAGGCACATGGATTCCAGTCTTCCAAGCTTGCCAGCTTAACCTGGGTTCATTTGGAAGAGGAATAGTTTTTGAACGATTGTACAAGTTATGCCTTTTACTTAGCTTTTGAAAAAAATAAACATACACAAATTATAGAAATGAGTATCTTTACATATGCAAAACTGCAGTTAAACTTGTTAAAGTATCTGAAAAATTCAGAGTTTCACCTTTTTCAAATAGTCGTAAGTAAAGTTTTATTGTGCGGTCACAGACCTGATTGTACAAAGATAAAATACATAAAATAAATACATAGTATAATATATAATATGTATATATTTCAAATAGCTGCACACTCTTTCATCTTTAATAGACTGACTCTATTAAAATATGGACTCCTATTTTATCTTATTCTGAGGCTAACAACCTGGAAAAACTCTATACAAATGTCTTTTCATGTCGTTCTAGCTCAGCTTTTGTTTCCTCAATCCCCCTAAAAAAGAAGCACAGAATTTTCAGACATGCCAAAAAATGTGATCCCTATTTTACACATGTGAATACAAAGATAATTTGCCAAAAGCCAAGAGCCTAAGATGAGTGGCTTAAATATAGGAGATGCTTTCTGATCCTGTTTTTCATTAAGTATCCTGCAATATGTACATCACAACTTTCTGTCAAAATGTAGAAAACAGATTTCAGCCAGATATGTGATTATACCAAGTCGACCAAAGACTTGGAGACACAGCATTCATTTGCATTTCACTTGTTTGAAATAATCGAATCACAACACTATCCTATGAAAAATAAATGTCACTGAATTCGATGCAATCTGAATTCACTATATAAATAAATTGTATAGGATTATAACGTAAAATTCAGTTGATCCTACCTTTCTCCCAATATAGAAACCCAAAGTGGCTTACAAGTTAGTTAACCAAAGCCAACCCCCTGCAAAATACAACTAAAAACTAAAAACCACAAGTTATACTATTAAAACTCAGTTAGGCTTATTATCACTTGAAATAACTGCTATAATATTAAAAGAACTTCTCACACTGATGCACAATATATCTTTTATAATGTGCAGGCTGTTGTTTATATGGGTCAGGGGAGAGGAATATATAAAATCCACCTGCCCTCCCTCTAAGAGTGAAGTGATGAGTGGAAGATTCTACCAGTCCCATCTACAATCTTTGTGAAACACTGGAGTGGATGGAAATAAATCATAGACTCACAGAATACTAAAGTTGGAAGGGGCCTATAAGGCCATCAAGTCCAACCCCCTGCTAGATTCAGCAATACAAATGAAGAAATGTGAGGAAAAGAACTGACACACAATAGGTTTGGACATCTACCATTGATCCCATTGCAAAATTCCAGCAAGCACTTCCACTCAAATTTCCCCATTGCCAAAGTGCAATGTGGCAATTGGCGGCAGCGGGGGGAGGGGGAGGAACATTGACGAATTTTATATTGGCAACGCTACAGTATTTCTGAAAGAATACAGCCAAGGAATATCCCTGGTCCTTCACCAGAAACATGTGGCCACTCATTCTCCATCTGAAAGGAAAAGAAAAAGGTGACCCTTAAGCAATCCCTATGGCGTATGGAATTTGAGCACACATACTGTATACCACAGTGTGCCTACCATACGATGGACATCTGTGCATTTTGAAAAACAGCCTCTGCCATGTTATGTACTGTACTCAGCAGCATATGCACCTCTTTAATGTCTCTGCAAAAGAACTTAAAGAGACATGGATTTTGAGATGATGCAAGGTTTTTCAGATTTTAACCTGCCTTTTTCTATATTCCTTCATTATTTGTCCCAACTAACAACTTTGCTGTTTTAAAAATTCCTTTATATGTTGCAAGCGACTTTAAGAACCTCTTGGTCAGGAGGCAAGGCAGGGCAAACAAATCCATTTTGGGAAGAAGGGTGGGAACGCTGTAGCCTTTTCCACCAACAGGACACAGGATTTTCCCCTGTGGTCTCAGCAAAAGGCATACATAAGAATGGTGTTAAAGTGAAACACGAAGATGCCTCCCCAGCTGCAGCAGCTTTATGTGCCTATATTTTAATAATACCCTATAAAACATGTTTGAGGATTCACATCTGAAAAATTCCCTGCAGCTCTTTGCGCTGTCTAGACAAAACAAAGCAGTAGCTTTTTAAAAGGCACTAGGTAATAATCTCCTACAAAATTAAAAAGGAAAAAAAAAAGAATGCTAGTACACCTTGTTTCCAGACAGAGATAAATCCATCTGGATAGTTTGCTGGCACTAAAACGCCTGAGGAATTGAATCGAACAAAAACAAAAGGCAGTCCCTCGAGGGGAAAAATATAGAAGAAAGAATGCTTTTGTCTAAGAAGGGAGCCATTCAGGAGCCACACAAATATCAGATTAGCCCTATATCCTATCATGTCCTAGTGCTGAGGATTTAAAACTCATTAACTAAAAATGGTCTGCTATCCTCAGGAAAATATCCACACCCATTTGGCCAGTGAAGTGATAGCAAAAGGAGGGGCAATTGTAAGAGTCATCCTGGTAGATCAGAACCAAAATCTATAAGAATTCTTGTGCCAACTCCAATTGCTAGCCCCAACCAGAGCAAACCTATAGGATCAATTGTGTTATTGCAAGTTGACACTTTTGTAAATCTTACTACTTCAGGTGGGGCTAGCAACGGATCCCAATCTTTGTTTCCTAAGGAATTCAGTAAGGTAACCCTAGAAATTTCACAAGCAACATACAGAGAAGACAACCATTGACTTGCTAGTTGTCCCATGTATTTGCTGGAAGTTATTTTCTTAATTGCTGGAAGACAGAGCTGTCCTCCGAGAAATAATCCAAGAATATTCACTGAGCACAAGATTATTCCTTTTAATTCAAATGAGACAAATTTAAAACTTGGGTTATATTTCAAGAACTATGTGGGAACTCAACATTTTGAAAATGTGTATCTACTTTTGCCTTTTTCTCACAACTGTTATCATTCAAAACCTTGAGCAAGATTTCTTTACAAAAGCATAAGATGTTGCTGGTTAAACATGTGATGTACATAAGTAAAATTTAGAGATGTTAGTAAATCTGAATTCTTAAGTACAGTGGTGCCTCGCTTAACGATTTGAATTGGTTCCAAAAAACACATCGCTATGGGAAAACATCTCTAAGTGAAACACATTTTCTCATAGAGATGCATTGAAAACCGGATAATCCGTTCCAATAGGAACGGATTGCCGTCCTTAAGCGAAAATCACCATAGGAAACATCGCTAAGCGATACAATGTTTCCCCCATTGGAATGCATTGAAGCCTATTCAATGCATTCCAATGGTTTTGCGATGTCCATTTTCGCTATTTTTAAAGTGTCTTAAAATGTTCAAAAACTGTTTTAAATGCTTGGAATCGTTAGTGCACCTTCTAAAACATGTGCAAACTTAATTTGGCTTTGTTCTGACTCTTCGTTAATTTTTGGTGAATTTTTTCCCCCATTGAAATGCATTGAACCCAAGTTTGACAGCTGTCAAACGGGCACTTCAATGCATTCCAATGGGGGAGAAAAAAATTCACCAAAAATTAACAAAGACTCAGAAACTGTTTTAAATGCTTGGATCCGTTAGAGCAGTGGTCCCCAACCTTGGGCCTCCAGATGTTCTTGGACTACAACTCCCAGAAGCCTTCACCACTGGCAAGGATTTCTGGGAGTTGAAGTCCAAGAACATCTGGAGGCCCAAGGTTGGGGACCACTGCATTAGAGCACCTTGTAAAACGTGTGCAAACTTAATTTGGCTTTGTTCTGAGTCTTCGTTAATTTTTGGTGAATTTTTTTCTCCCCCATTGGAATGCATTGAAGTGCCCATTTGACAGCTGTCAAACTTAGGTTCAATGCATTTCAATGGGGGGGGGAATTCACCAAAAATTAACGAAGATTCAGAACAAAGCCAAATTAAGTTTGCACACGTTTTAGAAGGTGCACTAACGATTCCAAGCATTTAAAACAGTTTTTGAACATTTTAAGGCACTTTTAAAATTGCAAAAATGGACATCGTTAAGCGAAACAGGGGACCCAAATGCATTCGCCATGCGAAGCTTGGTCCCGAAATCGCTAAACGAAAATTGCCCATAGGAAACATCGTTAAACAATGCGGAAAAATCTTTTTAAAAACCCATCGTTAAGCGGATACATCGTTAAATGAAGCAATCGCTAAGCGAGGCACCACTGTATTTGGATCAAAGGAAGGGCCCAGTCAACATGTTTGCCAGCTATAGTTATATACTAGAAGTGAAGAAAACTTGAACTTTGCTTCCAGTCTTATGCCAAAGCCTGATGGTCCCCATGTAAACAGAATAACATTCTCCATATCCAAATAAACCTATTTAACAGATAGTTGCCAGCAGCCTATTCAGCATCATACTATAAAGTGCTTGTCTGATTAAAATGAACCAAGGAGTCTTATTCAGCTAGATGCTGGAGGCTGTTAAGTGCTTACTATTGTGGGTCCAAAGTTAAGAAATACATAAGTGCTGTCTAATAATCTTCATGCATGTGTTTTAGATAATGAACTAGGTGTTAAGAGGCAACGTTGGAGCAACATTACCTTTCAAGTATGTTGTGCCTGTCCTAACATCTATGACTAATAGTCAGGAAGAAATTCATATCAGCCAGGTCACATATATTATAATTTCCCACAAATCACCTACACAACTTTTCAAGCAAGTTTAATCTCATATCACCAAAATTTGACTTCTTTTCTTTCAGATTTAGGATATGTATCATTCTCTGAATGCAGTACTTGGCCATTTCAACAGAACTATAGTGCCCAAATCAAGGCAAGCAAGTGTGCTATTCTATTTTACATTGATCAGATCCCACCCAGGATACTAAGTCAAAGTTTAAGAAGGAGACTGAGAATCTGGAAAATGACCAAAGGAGGCTGATCAGCATGATAAAAGGCTGCAGATTAAGCCCTACATGGCACAGTTGAGGGAACTGAATGTATTTAGCCTGGAGAAATTAGACAGAAAGGTGAGCATGACACCCATCTTCAAGTATTTTGCAGGCTGTTACATGGAAGATGGGTTTTGCTTGCTTTCTGAAGCGCCAGATAATAGGGCCCAAAGTAACCAAAGGAAATTTCAACATTAGGAAGAGCTTCCTAACAACAAGAGTTGTTTTCCAATGAAATGGAGGACCCCAGAAGGTGGTGGTTTTCTGACACTGGAGGTTTTTAAACAAAGGTTTGATGACCACCTAGAGATGATTTAGCTGTTTGGGTAGTCTGGATTCAGTGGTCTCTCCCAGACCTAGACTTTTATAATTCTATTATTCTTCTATGATTCCTTACAAAGCTGATTCCACTAACAAGAGCATACCTTACAACCATTGAAAAAGTTTCTGGTACACAACCTTTTCAGACGTTTATTGTATCTCACTCTGCTTAGGGATTGCTTCACTCACTGAGATATTTTATTTGAGCAGGACAGCTACAATGGTTCAGTGGAGTGCTTTCGCTGATCATTTGCAAATAAGCAGAGAATCTTGTGACATCCACGGAGAGTCCTACATCCTATCTGACATAACCGTTAGTAGATTTTAGCCAGAAGTCTTGTCATCTTTAGTGTGCCACAGGTTTCTGCTGTTTTTACAAGGGAATTGGAATCGGAAAACACATGCCTGTATACAAATGTTGTTTCCATACTTGTACACGAAAGAAGGCTGTGTGCTTTTCTCTTTTATGCCATGCATGCACTCCAAGCCCCAAACCATACAAAGTACTGTACCAAAATAAATGGGTATGGAATCTTGGACAATATTTTTCCCTTGTATGTGAAAACATCACATGTGAAACAGCTTCAAACCACTGATTCTGTCCTCTTAGGAACAGCTTACCTATGAAATTTGGCTGTGCTAAAACCTCAGATTATTTCTGGATTCAGCAAAGCTTCTGCACATTCTGAGGAATACAGATAACTAGTCAGTTCAAGACAGCAGGTCACTGGGAGTTGCAGAACATCGAAGTAAAGAACATCCACCATATTCCACAAGAATGCTGTGCAAAGAAGTAAGCACCATCTCCATTCAGTCACACTATGAAGCAACAAATAGCATTTAATATAAGAGATACCAGTGGTGACTAGATCGGAGGAACCAGCAAAGCCTTGCTCATTACACAATACTACAACGAGTTTCCATACCACTTTTCAGCACACAGAGTACTTTTATCGTTATCTTATTTATCACCACAGCAATCCCATGATGTTGGTTAGAATGGCTCCACCAAGGCCAGCCTATCAGCCTCATGATGAAACAAGGCCTCCAAAAAATCTAAACCCAGCATGTCTTCACTACATGAGAAGCAAGTATCTTTTAGAGATTCTTTTAGTTAACTGAAAACAGAAATAGGTGACTAATGAATTATGGAATAAATCTCACTCTGTGAGCTAGAAATAATTATCTGTCCCAGGAACCACCATACCACATGATGTATCAGTCTGCAAGGACATGGCACGGGGGTTGGATGTTGGGATAAAGTGAATACAATGAAGTCCAACCCCTTCCAACCCATATGCTCCTTTAGGCTGAATCCCGTAGGACATTTTCAAGGTAAGTAATATCATCAGAGACAGTGTGAGAAAACAAAATATATTCTCTTGATTCAATGCAATATTTATTTGTACTACAAGTGTCATTTTCACAAAACATGCTATCATTACTAGTGCTGCAATAGCTGCTGAATAGTCTTTTACAGAACTGCATTGATGTTTTGATCCCCAAACAATATGTTCTAATCTAAGAGAGAGTTGTAGCCTCTATCCAAAGGGAGAGAAAATAGATAATTACATAGGAGAAGGTGCAGGATAGTAGAAGACATAAATTTACTCTATTGTGGATATAGCTGACATAGGCTACAAGGAATTCATGGAACAAATTCTTGGGCTATCAGTGAGATGTGTACTTGTGATGTGTACCATAACTCTTGTATTGCTCAAGAGGAAAGTCGGATTTCTTAAACTCTTATAAAACCATGTGGTCATTGAAAGAAACAATGTACCACTCTATGCTGATGTTCTTTTCAATGTGAAGGCTCAACCTGGGACATGTAGTACAGTAATAACAAGAAAAGCTTGGAGCATTTTTCTGTTTCCACATCTGAGAAGTTACCAAGCACACATTCAGGCCAAGTTGAATCCCAAGATCCCTCTTTTGGAAGTTCAGCTGTAAGTAGCATTGCTGCTCATGTGGCTGAAAGAGTAGGAAGCACAGCTGCAAGGAAGGTCAGGTATAGGGAACTGCGGCAGAGTGGCCTTCCGGCGGCAGCTATGAACACAGCTGCAATATGATGTATGAGAAACACAATTGGTTAGACTAGGGATAAGAAGAGCTGGCCACTTGCCTGACCAGACAATGATGCCGGAACATCTCCTGCCTCAGAAAGGTAAAGCTTAAGGAAGAGATTCAAACCTAGAGAGCAACACTGATACCGTCTAGTGACAGATCTAACCCCCCAGAAGTTATTTTTTTTCTATATAGCTCCCCAAAATGCCCCTGCCAGCATAGCACAATTAAGGAGCACAATTAAGTCCCTTTTTAGGGAGAAAGGTGGGCTGACAATATTCTACAGACAGAAAGAATTTTCCCTGTCAAGTTCTTGTTAAACCCAGTGATGCAGGCCACATGGCCCTCTAGATATTTTGGACATCAGCTCTCAAAAGCCCAGGCAGCATGGCCAACAGTTCAGGGTTATAGGAACACAACCCAAAATATGTGAAGGGCCAAAGATTTCAACAACCCAGTTTAAACCCTTGTTAGCAGTCAAGAGCTGGCTGGACAGTTTGGTGGTTTAAGTAACTGGGTGTGGAGCCAGTGGTAGGGAGTTCAATTTCCCACTGTGCGTCCCAGGAGAGCCAGACTTTGTGGCTTTCGGCAAACTGGACAATCTTACTAGGTTGCCTCCAAAAGAAAGGAATGGGAAAGCACTTCTGAGGACTATCTCCCAAGAAAACACTATAAAGGGTCTCCATAAGTCAGAACTGACTTGACAACACATCATCATCATCATCATCATCATCATCATCATCATCATCATCATCATCATTAAAGAGAGCTTAAAGAAAGAAATATGAAAGGACATTTGACACATAAATAACTGGAAATGGTTGAAATGGAATAAGAAACACATATTCAACTTTTTGTGTGGGGCGGAGTCATTTGGGCCACCTATTGCAAAACAATACTGGCTTTAACCAGCAATGCCTCTTCCCATCCCCCAGCAATATTCTCCACATTTACTGGAAGTGAGCAAATAACTCTTTCATTGTGTGGAAAATTTCCTGTGTGGAACAACCTACAGAGGGCACCAGAGAGGCATCTTTGGCATTAACTTGGGCACTGAGAGAGTCACTTCTGGTTAAAAAAAGAATCTTTGATGTGCGGAATGTCACAGACTGGCACGACTTGCAAACCTTTATACAGGACAGTTAAAAATATAAGTAAAAGCTGGATGGGGGTGGCCAGGAATCTTATGTCTTTCTTTGACCACTAGATTTATATGCATTACACAAGTCGTAAGAAAGCCATCCTGGGGGGGAAGAAAGGCAAAGCCAGCTGATGTAAACAGATTATGAAATATTACAAGTTTGTGTAACAGATGAGATTGTGCAATGCTTTTCACAGAAGCCATCGGTTTTACCTAGGATAAAAAAGACATTTAAGAAAAGAAAAGTAAAGCCTTTAAAAACACACACCCATTGAAAGAAATGTGGAGGTGGGGAATGATAAAGAAAACCTCTCTGGATGTCAAAAGATTTCAGCTGCAACAGGAAATATCTCTCATTCTTCAAGTTCCAATATCATTCGAGACTAGACGCTGACCGAAAGAGCTATCCCAAAAATGTAGCCAATTTGCTCAGACTCTGCAAGAACTTGCATTCTGAAGGTCAAAAACCAATCAACAATAAATACCAACCAGCTCCATGCAAGTTAGCTGAGGAATGTCTGAACACCCAGCCGTACCACTCCCCTGGAAGACAGAGCTAAACTCTTATGATTCCAACTGCTCCCCCGCCCCCAAGCCTTCAGTGGAAAGATCTACTCCAACAGCACACCCTGTGTGTATTAAAGACTCTTTGTTGTCTCTGTCTGGAGAAGGTGGCAGTCCTTAAAAGAACTTAACAGCACAGAATGACTTCTCCTTTGACCACCTCACAAAACAGCCTTTAATTCAGGCTGAGAAAAAAAATTATTCAAGTTAGAACAAAAGGTGTGGATAAGAAGCAGCAGGGTTTCCTTAATAAATTTAAATTACCTAGCGAGTTCCACAGCATTGCATGTCAGGTACAAACGTATAGGTGATTGTAGACCATGGACCAGCAAGACTTCCATAATCTAGCATGTTCTTCCTCGCTGCACCCCGCTTTTGTGTTGAAGCACACTCCTTGTTACCTTGCGTTCTTTCAAGGATGGTCCCCTTCTACAGAGGGGATTGCCCTCTTTGTTTTAAACTCATATTTTCACTGTTTGGAACACAAAAGTTACCTCCAACCCAATGAAAGGGCTATCTGTTATTTAGTGAATTGCTGTTTCAGTACCTTGGAAACCTTATCATGTTAAAGAGATTAAAATTTACAGACAGGACTATGAAGAAGTATCCTGGGATTTACTATGGGAGTAGCAAGTTTGCATTCAGTGTTATAACAAAATGAGAAAACTGGAGATCTATTAAAATACATTTTCCTTTAGAACTCAGGTTCTAAGTCCAGAAATCCATCCTGCTTTGTTTGTAAAACAGTTGCCCCACCTGAGAACTTTAGATCAGGTGAATTATGATTCAAGATAACTCTCTCTCTCTCTCTCTCTCTCTCTAATCCTAATTCCACTTCTTGGAAGTATGCCCCTTGGTGTCAGCAAAATCTACACCATCATAGTCAGGATGCTATTTATGTAATTCTGAATGTGTCATCTTGGAAGCCTCTTCAAAATCCTGAAAATATTCACTTTACAAGCATTGTTTTTCCTGCAATGGGGATCAAACTACAGTTCTCTGGACAAAACATTTCAACAGCCCTGTAATTGTATAGCAATGGCAGAGCCCATAGCTCAGAGGCTTAGGTCTCTGGCTGCAGAGCTAGAGGTTGGGGGTTCAATATCCCCCTGTGCCTCTTTAAGAGGAGCTGGACTAAATGATCCATAGGGTCTCTTCCAGCTCTGCAGTTCTAAGGTTATTATTATGACAGAATGCAGAGATCTAATTGTTTTTACTGTTTTTAGAGATTCCTCACAAACAAAGTAAATCACAAAAACATGTATTTGTTAAGAATTATGGGGGCATTGTTTCCAGACTTTGGGGGTAGGGTTCAATACTTCCGTATGGCCTACTTGCTACTCAGCTTGACCAGACCTGATACAAAAATCCCAGCCCATATTACAAAAAGCTTTTACATCTTGCACAGCTACAGTCGCCATTGGATTTCTTTACTAATCATAAAATCACCAGTTTATTTTGAAAAGGGCATACTACCACCAGTTTTGAAACAGCAAATAAGTAAATTTATACAAAGACGACTAACTTGGGTAAATGAAAACAAATAGGAGGTTTGGAGGGCTTTGTGAAACAACACAAACTGCATGCTTGTAAGACTTTTAAAAATGGACCCAGGTTATTCACAAATCTCATCAACTGACTTAAAATTGATTCAACTCTGGCCTGCTGGCTTTATGGCTAGACCTGCTTCTTAGACAGCCAATTTTTCTGAAGGTTTCTGTAGTTCCACAGACCTGATCCTCCCCAATCCTGCAAGAACGCCATTAAAACCCAAACCCCAATTTGGTCAAGTTAATGAAAGTGCAGATTTCAAAGAACTGGTTCCCCCCAATTCATCTGCCTTTTGAGTACCCAGTTGTGTATGTGTTACGTCCTGTCAAGAAACATCTGATTTATGGCAACTCTCACAGGGTTTTTAAGGTACATGAGATATTTAAGATCCAGTTTTAACAGTGCCCCCAGGCCTGTCAGTGTCCATGGTCTGAACAGAGATCTGAACCCAGGTCCCCAAAGTCCTAGTCCATCGCTGTCCACTACACCAGACTGCATAAGAAAACACACACAAACATGCAATCAGGGGGAACACATGCCGCACGATGTGCCCACGGGGTCCGAACCCACCTCCTCTCAAAATGTCACTGGACAAAGAAATGCGCTGTTTACACACTTCGAGTTGAGGGGAGGAACCGTGAAGTAGATCCAAACCTTTACAGCGGGAGCAAAGCAAATACTGACAGGGCAGTCACTTCAGCCATCCTACTGACTTAACAAAGGGAAAACAAGCTGGAGGGTCTGCAGGGTCGGGGCTTTTTACCTTTCTGCCTTTGAGTCGGCTGAACGGACTAATGCCTCCTCCTCACACCGCCCACCTCCTCCTCTGGCACCACTTCGGGTTTCCTTCTGAAGGCAAACGTGACCCTCTTCACACTTGTTTACACTCCCAGTGGAAACCTTCCCATCAACAACTCAAGGTCTCTGCCGCGAATCCGGAACTCGAGTCATGGTTTCCCGTTCCACCCCCCCCCAAATAAATGGCATTTCATACAGAGGAGAACCACCACTTGGGCTTCCCCCCCCTTCTCCACAGGCGCCAGCCGTTGTCACGAGAGGGTCCTGCGCTTGAAGGCACTCACGATTCCCGTTGCGACGGCACACAGACACACACAGAGTGCCATCAACACACACACACACACAGAGAGAGAGAGAGAGAGAGAGAGAGCGAGAGAGAGAGCACTCCGTTCCCGCCCGGCGTGGTCTCTCGAACCTCTCATTCCCTCGGGATGCTCGCAAATACGGACCAAGGCAGGGCAAAAACGAACCGGACGGTGGCCAAGGGCCACTCCCAGGGCCGGCTCCAGCGTAGTCAAGAGACGTCCCGAACCCGGTACTCAGTACGATCGCCTCCGCTCTCTCCCTCTCCCCGCCACGTTTGCTCCCCGCGTCCGTTTCTCCTCCGTCGCAATGTGGCTCCTCCACAGGCCAGCCCCAGCCGCCCAGAAGAGGGAAGCCAACGAATAAAAGGGAATCGGGCTGCGTGTGTGTGTGCGTGTGCGTGCCTGCCTGCCCGCGCGTGTGTTTTAAGATTCCTAAGCTCAGGACAAGACGAAGTCCGAGGAAAGGGTGGGAAAGAGGAGACACGCACCCACCGTCCCAGCAAGCTCAGCCGGTCCCGGCCGTCCCGTCCCTGCGATCCGAAGGCTCCCCACGACACTCGCTCGCCCGATCCCCAAGCGCCGCCGCTTCCGCCTCCTCTTCCAGCGCCTCCGGGACACGGGCGCCCCGCCGCCTCGCCCCTTAAGCTGCGGACGCCGGGCGAGGCCGGAGCGCGCTCGCGGGAGGCGG